TTTAATTAAACATTCCAATACATCAGAATTTTTGACATTAGGTAGTTATTTTTGTTCCTGAATTAAATTCCTCCTGTATTTGTACTCACAGAATTTACAGAATCTTTGGGTTAGAAATGATCCTACAAGTCGTGTAATCCAATCACCTTTCCAGTATTTTAATGCCATATGAAATATCCATACTGTAAGGTTTTTCGATGAGCGGCAGCAGAGAAAGAAAGATGAGCAGAGTGAAAAGGGGCAAGCAACGAAGCTTTATTGGGGGAAAGGGAAAGAGAGCACTCTTGGATGAGGTCCCGAGAGAGGGGGCCAATGAAGTCGCGCCCTCTCGGAGGGGGCTAGGGCTTTTTATGCTGTCTGAAGCGGATTTGGGGATTTTCCACTGAGGGTTTTGGCGGGTTCCGAGAAACGGAGTCTGCCGCTCAGTCCCGGGAACCGAAACTGCCTGAGTCTGGCTTATAGTCCGCATTTAGTTATTTTCGGGGGGCACAGTCAGCTTTTTCTTCTTTTACAGCTTTAGGGAGGGGGAGGGGTGCCTGCCACCAGCCTTACACATACTTGAATAATACTTGCTAAGAAAAACATTATTCATCAATTCAAAATCATTCCATTTTTATTCTGTACTGATTGTGAGCAAGTCCTTCCATACAGTTACTCAGTATAGTCTCCATGTACTTCTCTCTAGTTCTTTCTTTTTTAGAAATCGTACAAATCAAGTCTAACTTCTTTTCTACGTGACATTTTCCCAAATGTTTGAATTTATCTATCATTTCTGTTCTCTGTTTTGTTCCTTTGGTCCTCCATGGAAATGGTTATCACAGATGCAGTTTATTACAAAAACTGTCTAAATTATAAAGATAGGTATACTTATTCTAAGGGTTACTAATTGTAAAGATTGAACTGAATTCAATCATCTACATGTGATATACTGAATATATGTTCCCAGTTCTACTTTTATAAGAGTCACCACCAGTTTTATAACTTGTACTATGTGTAGAATATAATACGCAGTGAAAGCTTTCTTGTTGACGTTCTCTTTTATTCCCTAGATTTAATTTAGCCTTCCTGGTTATATCTGATTGCTCTTATATTTGAATTTGTTTCTATCTCTTTAGTATTAGTTATCTTTCTTCCTCTGTTTTGTGTCACCTATGAGTGTAATCGGCTGCCTTTTTCATCTTAATCTCAGTTATTGGTAATTATATATTAAAAGAAGGTAAATATTTATGTCCTATTACAATAAAATCTCTCTTCTTGAGTAATTTCCATTAATCAACTTTTGAGTGAGGATATACAAATAGATATGAACAAATAGAACTCTACTATTTTCTGGTTATTATTTCTCTGTGTCATAAAAATATATCACAAAAGGCATCCTCACCCTTTAGACTGAAACTGAGACATATTTAAAATATTTCTGTACTATATCAGTTTAATACCTCTATAAAGACTCCCAAAGCAATCACAGCAGCAACAAAAATAAGCAAATGGGACCTGATCAAATTAAAAAGCTTCTGCACGGCCAAGGAAACTATCAGGGCAAATAGATAACCTACAGAATGGGAAAAAATATTTGCTTTCTACCCATCCGATAAAGGGCTGATAAGAATCTATATAGAACTTAAGAAAATCAACAAGAAAAAATCAAACAACCCCATCAATAAATGGGCAAAGGGCATGAACAGAAACTTTTCAAAAGAAGACAGACTAATGGCCAGCAAACATAGAAAAAAGTGCTCGGCATCTCTAATCATTAGGGAAATGCAAATCAAAACTGCAATGAGATATCACCTAACTTCAGTGAGAATGGCTTTTGTCAAAAAGTCCCAAAACAACAAATGCCGGCATGGATGTGGAGAGACTGGAACACTTTTACACTGCTGGTGGGACTGCAAATTAGTACAACCCCTGTGGAAAGTAATTTGGAGATACCTCAAAGAGCTAAAAATAGAAATACCATTTGATCCAGCAATCCCACTACTAGGCATCTGTCCAAAGGAAAAAAAGACATTCTGTAATAAAGACATCTGCACTAGAATGTTTACAGCAGCACATTTCACAATTGCAAAGATGTGGAAACAACCCAAGTGCCCATCAATACATGAGGGAATTAATAAAATGTGGTATATGTATACCATGGAGTACTACTCAACTACAAAAAACAGTGGTGAACTAGCACCTCTTATATCACCCTGGATAGAGATTGAGCCCATCTTTCGAAGTGAGGTATCACAAGAATGGAAAAACATGTACCACATGTACTCGCCATCGAATTGGCACTAACTGATCAACACTAAGATGCTCACAAGGTAGTAATATTCATTGGGTGCTGGTTAGGAGGGGGTGAGGTGAGGTGGGTAAGCCCACGACTAATGGGTGCGGAGCACACTGTATGGGGGAAGGGCATGCTTGTAGCCCTGGCTTGGGCAAGGCAAACACATTACATATAACCAAAATATTTGTACCCCCATAATATCCTGAATTAAAAAATAAATTTAAAAAAAGAGAATGTGAAAAAATTGCAAACCCTGTGCACTGTTGGTGGAAATGTAAAATGGTGCCTCCACTAAGAAAAACAGTACGGTAGTTGCACAAAATATTAGAAGTGTAATTACCATATGATCCAGCAATTCCACTTCTGGGTGTATACCCGAAAGAATTGAAAGCAGAAACTAGAACAGATAGTTGTATACCCGTGTTTATGGTGGCATTATTCAAAATAGCCAAAAGGTACAAGCAACCCAAATGCCCATCAATGAATGAATGGATAAATATAATACAGGATATACATATGATAGAATATTATTTAGTCTCAGAAAGGAAGGAAATTCTGAGACATGCTACAACATGGATGAACCTTAAAGATATTTTGCTAAGTAAAACGTGTAAGTCACAAGGAATAAATATTGTATGATTTCACTTACATGGGGTACCTAGAGTAGTCAAAATTATAGAGATAGAAAGTAGCATAGTAGTTGCCAGGGACTAGGGGGAGGAAAAAAATGAGTATTCATTGCTTAATGGGTATAGAGTTTCAGTTTTGGAAGATGGAACACATTCTGGAAATGAATAGTGGTGATGGTTGCACAATATAAATGCCTTTCTTGACATTGAACCATAGACTTAAAAATGGTTAAATTGGCAAATTTTATGTTATGAATATTTTACTGTAATTTTAAAAAAAAATCAAAATATATTCTCCTTAAAAATAGTTTGAATTAGAAAAATAAATTTCTCAGAATTATAAAAATAAGATAGTTTAATATGTCTTGTTCTAAATGAATCATTTATTATTTTTAATAATCTCAAGGTAAAATTAATTGAATCAATTAATCTCTCACTATAAAAACTATTTTAATTTCTGGAATTTTACTTTCTCTTATATGTCCTCATAATTCACCAAACTTCATTAACACTGGCTTTGGGATGCACATTTGTGTCTAGTCATCTGATATATCCTTTATTTGTACTTTTAGCAATGAATTAATTTTCAGTGAAGAAAGTATTATCTTACGTTTTCAACATACTCTATCAGTATTTTGCTTCCACTTACACTCTTGATGATAATTACTTCTCATAGGAAAGAGAAAACTAAAATTAGAATCCGGAAAATCAGATTTATTTCTCATATTTGTTAGCATTATATTATGGCAAAAGTACATGGTGTTACCATAGGTTTTAAGAAGAAACATTAAAAATATATTTTTCATCTATTGTATTTTCTATATGTATAAAGTATTAGTAGAAGAAAACAATGGAGAAATCAGGACAGAAAGGCAGTTAAATTGTTATAATATGAATGGATCACTCAACAATTGAAAGAATCAACTAATAATGTAAATGTATGCTACTTTCTCAGTACTTTGATGAATTCTAAAGGTAATATGGTAAAATGCAAGATATAGTTTATTCTCTCAAAGAGAATCAAATATGATGAGGCTATTATTGTGTAAGAAAAGTATATTAAACATGAAATCATTGGAAATCATTATGTAATATGCTATTCTAAAATCTAGATTGTAAGTGTTTTAGGGTTTAAGAGAATAGTGACAATATTGATAGTTGGGAGAATTATGAAAAAATTTCAAATAAATGAAAATTAGCTAGGTCTGATAAATACCTAGGGTTTGATCTACAAAGGAAATAAAAAAGGGTACTTTCATTTTGTAGGAAAACGTGAGTATAGAAACATGGTAAGAGAATGGGAAATCTGGTTACAATTCTAGAATAAAAATTATTGTAGATTTTATTATTATACTGCTGTGGGTGTGGAAAATTTTAAACTATAATTGTTAACCTCAGTTTTAAATTTAAAGTGGTTGGTTTTCAGGGTTTCAGTAAACCTTCTCTAACTGCAAAACAATATTTGTTTGTGTATGATACTACTGGAGATAGAATTTCTGGATTTTATCATAGTTTCAGTAAGGTCTAAGTTGAACTGAACTTTACAAACGTTGGTATAAAGTCTGACAAACCTTGAAAATATGATTATACAGTTTTTGGTGAACTGGAAGACCAGTTCTGGGAACTTGTTCAATGAATATGTTTACACAACAGAAAAAAAATGTAGCTCTCTGTCAATAAATTTTATTTGAGAGAGATCATCATAATAGTTTTCGGTGGCTGGGTGCAGTGGCTCATGCCTGTAATCCTAGCACTTTGGGAGGCTGAGGCAGGAGGATCGCTTGAGGCCAGGAGTTTGAGATGACCCTGAGCAAGAGCAAGAACTCATCTCTACAAAAAACAGAAAAATTAGCCAGGTATGGTGGCATGTGCCTGTAGTCCCAGCTCTTGGGAGGCTGAGGCAGGAGGATTGCTTGAGCCCAGGGATTTGAAGTTGCAGTGAGTTATGATGATGTCACGGCACTCTAGCACTCTGTCTCAAAACAAACAAACAAAAAAGTTCTCTGTAAGAATGATAAAAATAAGGCAATTTGAAGAGAAGTTAGTAAACTAAGTAAACATTACATCTTTAACAGAGCTTATCATCTGCATATTTCTTATTTCTTGATTAAGAAGACTCTTGCAACCAACCTTTTAAAGGCTTGCTTTACCTCTTTGTTCCTAAGTGTATACATGAGGGGGTTCAGTATGGGTGAAATGATTCCATAGAAGAGGGAAACCATCTTTCCCCGGTCCTTGGAGTTGGGAGAAGGTGGTTGCAGGTACATGGAGATAGCTGTACCATAAAAAAGTGACACCACAATTAGATGGGAGCCACATGTCCCAAATGCTTTTTGTCGACCTTCAGCAGATTGGATTCTCAAGACTTCTTGGGCAATAAAAGCATATGATATAAGGATGAGTGTTGGGGTATGAGATGGAGTAGGACGCTGACAAAGAATAGTTCAGCCTCATTTGCTGTTGTATCAACACAGGACAATTTGAGCAGTGCAGGGACTTCACAGAGAAAATGATCTACTTGATAGGGGCCACAGAGTGGCAGCTGGAGAGTCAGGGTAGACAACCACACTGAGTTACCGAAGCCAGTAATCCAGCATGCAGCTGCCAATTGGAGGCAGAGCCTTCGGTGCATGATCACTGAATAATGGAGAGGATGACAAATAGCTACAAACCTATTAAAGGACATGACGGCCAGCAGGACACATTCAGTAGCCCCCAAGATGAGAAACGTGAAAAGCTGAGCCACGCAGCCACCATAACTAATTACTTTCCTGATGCTGCATAAATTTACCAGCATCTGTGGAACTGTACATGTGGTGTAGCAAAGATCTAGAACTGACAGATTGGTAAGAAAAAAATACATGGGGGTATGGAGTTTGGAGTCCAGGAGTGACACCAGAATAATGGTCAGATTGCCAAAGATAGTCACAATGTAAGAAATCAAAAAGACCACAAAGAGTGGAAACCCCAGCCATGGTTGATCTGAGAAACCTAGCAGAATGAAATCTTGTATGATGCTCTCATTTACCCACTTCATGATTAATGTTTCAACTCTTGGTTTCCTGAAACATAAAAATTCAGGAAGTCAATTAATACATATTTGTTAAATATTTCAATTACTTGCAATCATTTTACTATCTGTTTGAAGACATTTACAGAACTGATATTACTTACAACATGAAAAAATACAATTGAAAATGCTCATAATTGCCTAAGAATTTCTAAAATTTAATCTTTCTATATCTGTATCAGCACTTCAAAAGTGAAAGCCAAAATTTAAAAAGTAAATTCCTGATTTAAACAACTTTCATAAAATTTGTTCTTTGATTCTTTGTCATCTGGTTAATCTTGGCACTATTTTCCATGTAGATAGCTATTATTGGAAAGATTCAGTCATACTCGCGACCACATTGCCTTTCTTTCTAATTTCTCATTGTCAAGAAGATTGCCTTGTCATCTGACATAATTTACACTATTTAGACCACCCCCAAAACTATGTAGATAGGTTCTAGCAAGCTATCAGACACATTTCAAAGAAGAATGTCTTTTGCCTTTTAAGACCTCATAGAATCAGAATAAAAAGATATTAGTAGCATGGATTTGGAGGCAGACAAGCATAGGTTTGAGCCGCTACCCTTAAATCATTAGTTATATCATTCTGGGAATGTTTCTTGCTCTCTATGAGCTTCAGGCTCCTCATCGATAAAATAAGTATAATAATGCCTTCCTGGTGTAGTGATGTGAAGTGTGGACAAAAGGATCTATATAATCATCCAACGCCTCTGAGATGCTTGGAGAGGAATTCCTTATGATTTTCACAACTCTAAATGTCCTAGGGTTACCAATGGAAAACAGCTCTGTGAGTTGAAAACTTAGCTTCCCATTCCCCGCACAACTCTAAAATGATCAGCTTCAGCATAGAGTTAATACTAAGTATCTAATGTGAAGTATGTGATCTTTAATGTAACTTGTCTGGCATAGTGCCACACAGCAATGTGAATGAAAGTATTATATGATGTGGGAAATCTGAGACAGTTGGGGTAGAGGCTGTTTGGAACCCTAAATTTGCTGTATGTATTAATATAAGTCAAAGCCACCAGTTGAAATTTTATCCATTCCAAAGTCATCTACTTTACTGACACTACATTCTATTATTTTATGATTATTTTGTTGGTGTAAAAATGTGAATTTAATGATAGGAACATAAAATTTGAATTACTATTCAATGTATATTTTAATTTTGCTCTCTTATTTTACAGCTCTCAGTACAGAGTGGCAGGGAAGGCTTTTACAGTCTTTCAAAAAATTCCCTTTGCTATGCAGCTGTCAATAAAATGAGGTTATGTGATATAGATAAAAATTCAGATATAGTTATAAATGTGAAAAATACTCAAATCTTCAAGGAAATAAACAATTTTCTGAGCATGCATGTAGCATCATTCTGTGTGTTTACATAAGGGAATAAATATAATATGTATCACTATTCACATATGTATAAAATTACCAGAAAGTATGCAGAAGCATTAAAAGTCATTATCTCTAGGAGTAGGAATGGAGAGAGACAGAGTAAATCAGATTTTAATTTTTTTTTGAAGAAAAGAACAAAACTTTATTGATGAAAATAAAAAGAAAAAATTTCACTAAATGAGATACACTGTGTTTTAGGATTGAAAGATTCAATATTGTAAAGATCCTAATTCTTGCCATATTAATCTATTAACTTGATGCAGTCCTAATACAAAGCAAGTAGTATTTTTGTAAATATCTGTCCAATGATTCTAAAGTTTAGCTGGAAAAGTAAACATTTAGCAAAATATAAAAAATAAGGGTAACCATAAATGGAAATAAAGGTAAGAAAATTCTCCCTACTTGAAATTAAAATGTATTATAAAATTCCCAAAATGTAAATGTGGTATTGACAGCATCATACAACAGATCAGTAGAGAAGAATAGAAGTCTATATTAAACTTAACAATTTAGCATATGTTAAAAATGAATTTTCCAACCTGCGTGGAGAGAATCTTTTAATCAATAAATGATATTGGAACAAGTGATCAATTACAAAGAAAAAGATTTCTATGTTTTATTTTACATCAAAAGAAATTACTGATAAATAAAGATTTCTATGTAAGAAATTATAAAATTACTAGAACAAAAATATAGATGAATATTTTGGGGGCAGAAAAGGCTTTCCTATGAGTGATATCAAAGGTATAGCCAATTAAAAAAAGACTGATTTACATTTAAAAATTGTGTATAGTAAAAAAATTATAATAAGAAAAACTAAAATGAAAATCATGATTAAAAATATTGTAGCTTATGGAAAAGTTGGTATGGTATGGTCATTTTTTTAAATACCCCCAGATACACACTTGTAATGTGTCTCTCCTTCTCTGTCTCTGTATCTCTCTCTCTCTCTGTCGGTCTTCCTCTTTCCCTCTCTTTAGAAAAACTTCGAAAGGATAACATCTAAATGTTATTGGTATTTATAGTTAAATGGTGGGATTTGGGTGGCCAATTTATTTGTATACATCTCTGTATTTTCTGAATGTTCTATAATTTATATGGATTACCCATATAAAATAATTTAAGACAGTAGAATAATTCAGGGGATGCCAAATGAATTTAAAACATATTGAGTTAGACTGAACCTATTTCTATGTTCATTTGCTAGAGTAACATTTGGTGTGCTTTTTCCTGTTGTTTTTCAGGGTGAGGAAGGTGACCAGGGGGAATTGGGAGAAGCTGGAGTTCCAAGACCTCCAGTATAGCATTTTTAAAAAGTATTTAACCAGAATATTCAAATATTCATTTTGGGAGTTGGGAAAATGGTGGATTAGGGGTGACCTCCTGGCTCTTTGCTCCCAGAGTGGGAGGTGAAGAACACGGACACCCACACATGAGTGAGGCACTCTCCACAGGATCAGCTTCATGAATCTACAGAGAAGCAGCGAGGTACAAGCCGTCCTGCGGAAAAAATAAGATGAACTGGAGAAGCACCCGCAAATACCGGAGAGTGTGGGACAAAGGGGAAGTGCAGCGTGGGACGGCCGTGCCTGGCGGTGGGCTGGCCCGGGCAGTAAGATCTGACTCACAGGAAGAAGACTCTTCCTTTACCAAACCCCACTCCCACGCAGGCAGGGAAGTGCCAGAAGTCAGTGCGAAGTGGTAGCACAGACCGACAAGCGGTGGGGAGTAGAGACAGGAGCGGGGTCCATTTTGAATGCGCCGGAGCACGGCGCTGGGTCAGCATCAGAGGGAAGGGACTGGCCTCAGCGGGCGCTCCTCGGATCAGATGCTGCCAAAGCCCACAGGGGAGAGTTTGGAGGCAGCTTCTTGCCACAGGAGACCGCCAGGACTAGATCGGGGGAGGGGAACTCCACAAAGTGGCTCTGCCCGTGGAAATTGCTGAAAGTTTGGCGGGGCGCTGGGAGGGACACAGCACAGAGTCCTCCCGCGGATCTGTCCAGAGTCGCCATGTGTGGGGGGGTGACGTGCTGAGCGGGAGGCTCTGGGAGGCAGCTCTGGGAGTCCGCAACGGCGGACCCTGGCTTCCGATGCCCTCCCAGTGCTAGTCAGCTTCAGCGCTGACTAGCAGTGGGTGGGCAGCTGCAATTCGGGGAACCCAAAGCCTGTGACTGTGTGGACTTGTTGCCCGGGCATAGGCCTGAGTCATAGCCGCTGCTTCTGCAGCAGAGCTGGTCGAGCCCTATGAGGAGAGAGGAGGAGAGTAGCGCGCGCAGCCACTTTTTCTCCCGAATCTGCGGACAGTCTGTCCCAGCCGCGGACTCAAGCCCCACCTCTGAAAGGGCAGAAAAGGGAGAAAGAGCGATATTTCTGCCGAGTTTCCAGGCAGTCTCTGGTGGCCCTGTTCCATTCAGTCACCGGCGCTGTCCGCAAAGGTGATGGGGAACTGAGGGTGAACTGAGGGAGATCGCTTGTAGAACTGTGATCCGGGACACATAAGCACCCCCTCTGCCAGGCGACTCGACCCCCGCCCCAACGCACCACGCTAAAGGGCCGGCCTCCGCCACTAGGTGGAGTAAAGGGGCCGCTTTTTTTTTTCTTTTTTAAAATTTTTTGTAGAGCTGTGATCCAAGAAGACATAACCAGCCCCTCCGCCAGGCGACTCGACCCCTCCCCACGCATCGCGCCAAAGGGCCTGCCTCTGCCTCCAGGTGGAGTAAAGGGGTCGTTTTTTGTGTTGTTGTTTTTTTTTTCTTTTTCTTTTCTTTTTTCTTTTTCTATTCTTTTCTTTTCTTTTTTCTTTTTTTCGATATACATATTTCTCTTAATTCTT